TCTGACCAGCAGGAGCACCACGAGGTACAGTAGTAGGATGACCAACATGCTGATGGTTTCCACCACCATGAGGATGTTCAACAGGGTTCATAGCAACACCTCTAACCTTAGGCCAGCAATTCCTCTTAACACGATACTTATGGAAGTTATTACCAGCCTTAAGAACAGGTTTATCAAGACGCCCACCACCAGCAATAATACCAATCATAGCACGACATTGACTACTAACAGTCTTACGGGCACCAGATGGTAGACGAATACGAGTCTTACTACCATCATCAGAATGTCCAACAACAATACCAGAAGCACCACCAGTAGTAGCACAAGTACCACGATCACCAATCTTCTCCTCAATGTTGGAAATAACTGTACCCTCAGGCATCTTGCCAAGAGGTAATACATTACCAATAGATAGATTAGCATTCTTACCAAAGTATACGAACTGACCAGTATGCATACCCTCAGGAGCCACAGTTAGGATCTTTTGTAGGCCGAACTTATAAGGGTTACGGAAAGCAATACGTGCCATAGGAGCACCACGACCAGGATCATGAATAATCTCCTGTACTAGACCCTTGATATATCCATGACGCTAAAATAGGATAATACATTATTATTGATTATGATGATGCGGATAGTATTAGTATTATTACCTCAGCATAATCTACAGCACGAAGCTTAGAAGCTCCTTTACGATGCTTAGTGACAGCCTTGAAGATTCCTCCACGTCCCTTACGTTGTCCACGAATAACGCGTCCCATTAGTTGGGTGGGTTAATAACGAAGATGATTATAATACCCTACCTATACAATAGTAACAACAACACATCAATCCTACAGCATTTCCGAGATAATCACCATCACAACCAACAAGATGACGAAGACGACATCAACAAAAGCGTGATCGATTATGTATTGGCATGCATAATGCACGAAAAACGCATAATCCCAACTGGTTGGTGTGTTATCATTCACCATCCCAAATGGTCGGTATAGCCAAAGATGAACTCGAAACACTACAACCTGTTGTGCTCGAATCATGGGAAAGCTGTCTAACCAGATTGTCTCAGAGGAAAAAACGAATCTTCGAGCAAACTGCTCACAAGCTTCCGGTAGGGCGTCTACTTCCCGGTGGAGCATATGTTTGGAACACAGATGCAATCCGTTTGCCTTCGATTGGCCGTGTGGAGCAATCCTTGCTTTTCCGTCTCAGGTTAGGTGTCCTCCCATTCTTTCACCCTGTACTATGTCCTTCGTGTGGTTTAGGACGGGAGTCCCGTCACGGGACTCTATACAACATTTCTTACTTTCTTGCCCAAATGGTCGGTATATTATTATTCACTATTGAGTAATCCCAAATGGTCGGTATATTATTATTCACTATTGAGTAATCCCAAATGGTCGGTATATTATTATTTACTATTGAGTAATCCCAAATGGTCGGTATATTATTATTTACTATTGAGTAATCCCAAATGGTCGGTATATTATTATTCACTATTGAGTAATCCCAAATGGTCGGTATATTATTATTTACTATTGAGTAATCCCAAATGGTCGGTATATTATTATTCACTATTGAGTAATCCCAAATGGTCGGTATATTATTATTTACTATTGAGTAATCCCAAATGGTCGGTATATTATTATTCACTATTGAGTAATCCCAAATGGTCGGTATATAATTATTCACTATTGAGTAATCCCGAATGGTCGGTATATTATTATTCACTGTTGAAGAACACAGTAATCCCAAATGGTCGGTATATTATTATTTACTATTGGGGAACACATTCATAAATGATAATTGTCTTATTATTATCAACACACAGGGAGTGGTTGAGCGATCATCCAATCAATACACATTCTTGACAGTAACGATACTCTTTATACTGTTGTACCTACATAAGTAGTAGTAATGATGATGATGATAATATAATTATTACTACCCCATAGAGTATAGTCAATATAAAGAGTTACTGGTATACATACTAATCCAATTACCATAAGAATGATATCAGATATATCAGCACCTGATGATTAGACGGACAATAGAGTTGAGTATTGACGTATTAATATTATGATTACCCCCAACAAGGCGTTTATGTAGTATTGCAGGTAGGATAAATGCAAGAGGTATAGAACCTAATAACAACAACATGACGATCATCATCATTACTAAATGTCTCAATATTATGTTGTTCATCATTATTACAGAAAGTACCCACAAATGATACAAACATTTCAACATCTTCGGCAGCAAAATAAGCCAACAATACCTAAGCATAATAATAATAACCAATATATAATGACGATTTAGAGAGAGAGAGGGTAGTAGTAATAGGGTAGTAGTAATAGGGTAGTAGTAGGGTAGTAGTAGTAGTAGTAATAGGGTAGTAGTAGGGTAGTAGTAGTAGTAGTAGTAGTAATAGGGTAGTAATAGGGTAGTAGTAGTAGTAGTAGTAGTAGTAGTAATAGGGTAGTAGTAGGGTAGTAGTAGTAGTAGTAGTAGTAGTAGTAGTAGTAGTAGTAGGGTAGTAGTAGTAGTAGTAATAGGGTAGTAGTAGGGTAGTAGTAGTAGTAGTAGTAGTAGTAGTAGT